TCAAGTACCCATCCCTTCACCAGAGCCCATTCTCCACCACCAATGTTCCCAGTAACCCTCCCACCACCCCCACCCCGTGATACTCATTTTACTTATCTTCTAAGTAGAGCTTGTAATAATACCTCCTGTTGGGGTTCCCCTCTAAGATAACACAGCACATGACCTTGCTGTTCACTCTGCCTCTGCAGTCAACATAATTACGCTTCCCTAAGCAAAAACAAACCTGGTATCAAAATATGTAGGTCTGAATAGTCAAGTAATTTAAATAGAAAAGATTTTCAATGTGAATATATATTATCCACCCCTTCCATTTATTTCCCCATGCTACCTAATGCCTAATTCAACTTTAAGGATTTATTAACTTGTGCTATGCACTGCTTTCTTCCTAAGTACCTAAAAATGCAAATAACCCAAGAAAGGATAATTAAAGTCATTATCACCTTGTGAGTTTGAGTTCATGTGGTTTTTTCCTCTTAGACATAATATACCAATACTCAGTATCTGGGAAAAGATAGAATGCTTATGAAGGGCAGGAAGTGGGCACGGGATACATTTCACCACTTTGCTAGAATAACCTGTCTGCTAATCACTTCTTAGTTACCTTCTGAATGGAAACTCATGAAAAAGTATTAATATTTGCCTATAAAAAAGTGTCAGGAATAAAAGTAGGGTGAGGGAAGAGAATAACATTGCATATTCTCTTATAATTTTGGATTTTGTATGATAAGCAAGTATAACCTACACAAAAAAATAATTTAAAAAATTCCATACCAGAAATTGGAGAGATAGTGCAGTGGATAGGGCACTTGCTTTGCACATGGCTGACCCAGGTTCAATGCCCAGCACTACATACGGTCCCTGAGCACTACCAGAAGTGATCGCTGAGTGTAGAGCCAGGAGTAGACCCTGAAGACTGCTGGGTGTGGCCCCAAAACCAAAAGAAAAAAATCCTTACCCTATGAACTGTCTTCAATGTTGATGTATTGGTTTATATGATGCTAATGGAGACATTACTGGGCCCGCTCGAACAAATAGATGAACAACGGGAGGACAGTGCTACAGTGCTACCATGTAGTTTGTTTTTACTCTAAAACTTAGTTGGATTATCAAGGCTAATTTATTTGTCTTCAAAGTGTTAAACATAGTAAAATATTCATACCCCTGAAGACAGTCATGAAACTGCACTGCTTACTGACATTTAGTACATACATACACATTTCTTCACAAAATGAAACTTTCCTGCACACAAGCTATTCTACCTGAAGATTTCATTCTAGCAAACACAGAGTGTTCAAAAGGGGTTAATATCTTTTTTGGGGGGATTTCTGGGTCATACCAGCGATGCTCAGTTACTCCTGGCTCTGCACTCAGGAATTATTCCTGGCGGTGCTGGGAGGAACGATATGGGATGCCAGGGATTGAACCCAGGTCGGCCACGTGCAAGGCAAATGCCCTACCTCTGTGCTATCGCTCCAGCCCCAAGGGGTTAATTTCTTGAGTCTGGTTCTCTGTCCTTTCTTCCAGGAAAGCAGTCATTAACTATAACAAGATGTTTTGATTATGAAATAGCATCTCAGGCTTGTTGTAAAAACAAAACAAAAAATAACAACAAGAGACAGATACAGAGAAAGGAAAGGGCAGACAAAAAATGATTATAAACTACCCAAATTTATGATAAAATTTTGGGGATTCCACTGATTTGAACTGTTGCAAAACACCAAATATAACAATGAAGGAGACATAAAACTGACCTAAGGTCATGGATACCTTTATTCACAAAATAATTGCTACATACCTTTTTTGTGCAAGACCACAAATAACATTTGAACAATGCTGACATATATCTGCACTCAGTTTTTATAATACTGAAGGATACAGAAAGATAAGCAGACAATTATCATACAAGAAGTACAAAGGATTATAGAACTCAAAAAAGTGAGAACCAATTCTGTGCTTGGGAGAGTGCCAGGTAATATCTCAGAAATTGGTACCGGAGGTTTAGAAACTTCAGTATCACTGGATGCACTATTGACCGACTTACATAATTGCTGGATGCCTCAGTTTTTACCAATTTTAAAATCTGAATAAAAATAGTGTCCTCACTGCTGTGGGGAGTTCATGAAATCCACTCATAAATCTTACACAATGGCAGACTGGAAACATAATAGTATGCTGGGAACATAACCATGAGTAGGAATAACCAGATAAATAAGAGTGCAGGGCTGGAGAGACAGAACAGGAGTTAAGGTGCTTGCCTTGCCCCTGGCTGACCACGTTTGATCCCTGGTACTGCTGGGTGTGGGCCCCCCCATCAAACAAAAACTGAGCCTGCAAAGAGAAAAGACAATGCATGGTGAGTTTGAGGGAAAAAAACTTGTAGGACCCAAGGGGTTAGGAAGCTTCTGCAGCAGAGTCAGGAATATAGCTGAAGTTAAAATGGGAAACAGAGTTCAGACCAATGGGTTTATTAAATTCAATGGAGACTCCTGATGAATGTTAATCAGAGGATGGAAAGGGCCATATTTAGTCCATCTTGGTTGCAGTGTTGGGAATGGAATGAAGTGTGAGGAGATTGGAGGCAGGGATATTAGGGTAATATTTGCGGAATTTCACATTTAGGGAGGCAGTCAATAAAATATGAGAAATAATCCAAGGAGTGTTTCGAAGTAATTATTATCAGTTGTGATATCAGCTAGTATCATTTAGTATATTTCATGCATTTATCTGTTCATTCCCTCACCGGGCATTTATTAACACTAACCAATGCAGTGAAGGCTTTCAAAGAGAGTCAGCCTACTTGGCCCTGCTCCCTAAAAACACTCCATTCAACAAGTCTGTGTTTCTCTCTCTGGCTGGAAGATCCGTTACTAGGATCCAGATCATGTGCAATGGCAAAGGCTTTCTGGGTAGACACCACACAGCATCAGGAGACTAAAAATCCTGCTGGAAGTTTCTTTTGTTGTTATTTGTTTGTTTGTTTGTTTATGGGAGGCAGCGCTGTATAGTAGATTAGGATGCAAGTTAAGGTGTAAATACGACTTCTTCATATTGAAGAGTGGACATGTCATTCTAAGTACACCAGTGTACAATATAATTCGTATGGCCCAATATAATTCTTTGGCCTGTTGCTAATTGAACAATAACATCTACTACTCATTAACTGTCCTGTCCTATAAAATTGATATGGACTGATATTTACTACAATAACCATGAAATCAGTATTATCAGGGCTCCTTTAGAGACAATAAAACTGTGGTGAAAGAAAATTCTCCAAGGTCACAAAATTATATCCACTGTTCTATGTGGCCTTTGGCAGTGTACCACAAAGCAAATTAGAATGAAGCCAATCTAAAATGCGTACCTCAAGATATCACCGGGGAGAAAGAACATTATCCACTTAAGTATCAAGAAAGTCCAACATCTGGAAAGTCTTATTATAAGAATAGGCTGATATAAATGAATATATATGGTGACAGACAATTGCAAAGAAATTAAAAACCTCTACAAACTGCTAACATTTTAAAGGAGTTGTTGATACCAATTTTAAGTTCAAATCTCAATTCTGCCATTTGACAAGTTAAACGCTCATCAGTTTAAAGGCTGGGCCTGGTTGGGGAGATAGCTCAAAGGGCTGGAGAGCATGTTGCATGAGGGAAGCCTGGTGCTATCTCAGGTGCCACATGGTATCCTGGGCACCAATGGGAGAAAGAGAAAAAGGGAGGGAGCAAGAGGAAGCCATCCCTCTCCACAGCACTGTTGGATGTGGCTAAAAAACAAAAACAAAAAACGACTGGATCATTTCACAAAATCAAAGATGGAGAGGGAAGGAAGACAGAAGAGCTCAAAGGATTAAAAGGAGGACACCTGTTACTTTGGGTTTTGGCTCAGTCAGGGTGGGAAAACACTAAATAGCACAAGGGGAATTAAATGGAATATGCGTATTCTCTCAGAGCATGTATGGTTCTAAATAACCCAGGAGTGAAGCATGTACTGTAAAACATATTTTAACCCAAAGCTCTCTGAGACACAGCTACTGTGAAGTAAAAACAAATGGAGAGGGTTATCCTAAATTTCCAAATATTAAAGAAAACTACCAACTCTTGAAATGCCACTTGATGTCAACAGCATCTGAACCTTAAACCTGGGCTTTAAGCTGGCAGCCCAAGGAATCCCAGGCCAGGTGGTATTTAAAATCCAATCTCCCTCTATTTGTCTCTCCCTACTATCCTACCTTATGCTTATAAGCAATCACAGCCATTTTCACAAGCTGCAATAAAGTAGTCATAATCCCTTGAGAACAAAACACTCAAACTGCTGTGAGTTTTAAAATACAGAATAATACAAATTGTGGAATTTGCAAAACCTTTCTACACACACACACACACACACACACACACACACACACATACACTACAGAGTACAGTTTCTCAAACCTCGACTGTAAGTGCACATTTACCAAGGATCACCAACGTATCACTCTCCTTCCATCCATTCATTTACCAGCCCCTTTTCGACGCGACTCACTACCACTAAAAAAGTAACTCAGGACGCCCAAAATTTGAGGGCACCAACACCTCCATCCTCGCCCTTTTCAGCTCCAAGCCAGCACTGGGGGCTGAGAGGGGGGCTTCCGTTCAGTACTGGCACCCTTCCTACAGCCCGCTGCCTGGGAAAACCCTGGAGTTGCCCTGTCCTTGCTGCTGGTCCATCTCCAGGAACAAAAGCGCCTGTGCGATGGATGCCCCAGCCCACCCACCTGCCCGAGTCGAGTTTGCACCCACACGCTCCGGGAGGGAGTGGGCTCCCCGCGGGCCGGGGGAGGCGGGAGGAGTGTGTGGGGGGGGAGCGTCCGCAATGAACTTCTGGCTCTCTCGGTTATCCCGTTCCCTTCCCGTTCCCTTCCCATCCCATTTTCTCAACGGCAAGTTTGAATGGAGCCCGGAGAGGTCGGGGCGCGGCGGGCCGGGCCGCGCCCCTCGGCGGGCCGCGCGGCCAGTTACCTCCTTCCTGCGGCTCGGCGCCCCGGGCCGGGTGAGCAGGGCCGTCTCCTCGCACACGACGGCCACGTCCTCCACGAAAGCGCAGTCCGGGAGGCTCTCGTCGGCTGGCAGCTCCATCACCTGCAGCCCCAGCTTGCTGCCCAGCACGCCCACGTACAGCTGGTGCTGCCGCTCGGCGCGGGCGAAGTCCACCTCGCTGCCCGGCGTGCTCCGCAGCGCGTGCCGGCACAGGGACTCGGGCGGCGAGCGCACCACGGCGTGCGTGACCCGGCCGAAGACGGCGGGCTGACCCAGTGAGGCCATGGCTCGGGGGTCCTGGGCGGGCAGCGGCCGGCGCCTCGCCTGGGCAGCGGGGGAATGCGGTGCGGCGGGAGCCCGGCTCGCGCCCGGAGCCCTGCCCGCGCGACTGAGCATGCCCAGAGCTCCGGGGCGCAGCCCGCGCGCCCACCGCGCCTCCCCGGGCTTCGCCGCCACACACGCACGCACACACACACACACACACACACAAACACACACACTCGCCGGACCCTGGGATGGCGAGCGCGCGCGCGCGCACACACACACACACACGCACACATCACACCACACACACCCGCAGGGCCCCGGGCCCCTGGGAGGCGAGCGGGGAAGTGCGGAGAGGTGTGTGCAGGAGATGGCACCGCGGGGAAAGTCACCTTTCTGCACCCGCCCTTACCTGTATTCCCGGGCAGGTGCACCGCCTCCCCGCTCCCCTTACGGTTCCAAAGGCTGGAGAAATAGTAAAGGGATTTGCCTTGCATGCGGTAGACCTAAGTTCGATCCCAGGCTCCTTTGGGCACAAGTGGCTGTATTGTAGGTTTCCAGCACCTGGCACTGCCCTCTCCCACCCGCCTGTTCCTAGAGTGACCGTCTAATTGCCTTTGCGCCCAAGTTCATTACCTTGACATTGCAAATGACTTCTCACCCTCACCAGTCTGTCACTGTCACTGTCCTCCCGTTCATCGATTTGCTCGAGCAGGCCCACTAACGTCTCCATTGTGACACTTGTTACTGTGTTTGGCATATCGAATATAACACCGGGAATTTGCCAGGCTTTGCTGTGCCATGCCGGGGAGATAGTCTCGGTAGCTTGGCGAGCTCTCCTACAGGGGCGGAGGAATTGAACCTGGGTTGGCCTGGTCAGCTGCGTGCCAGGCAAATGCCCTACCCACTGTGCTATCGCTCCAACCCCTCGGGACTAGTGATTGTAAAATAGTATTGCTTCCCATCTGTTGGAAAAGTGTCACACACACACACACACACACACACACACACACATAGACAAAGACAGAGTCACAGCACTGCAAGGAAGTTTCTCATGAACAATCCGAAGCATGCATGTTTCCGGGACACACGGAAGCAGGGATGGAGGCAAAGAACACTGTTTCTCAACAGAAACAGTAGTGGGTTCACCACACAGTGTTGCCGGTTGTATTGTAACCCGTGATGGCTGGGGAAAAGGGTTTCCAACTTCCCTCTTGGCTTTCCCTTCACACCTCTACAGAATCTGGAATTTCATAGACTGTGTTTGATTCTTCTTTTCATACTCCTCAGGAGTTGCCTCTCCCTCCTAAAATTAAGCTTCTGTCCCACCTCCAAATCAAACACTGTAGATTGAATAATCTATAGATTTTGCCCTTTATGTAGATACCTTTCAAAAATGAACAAACTTTTTTTTGAAAGCTATTTCTCTGATTTTCTTATTTTTTCTTTCTTCCTTCATATCTTTCTCTCATTCATTCTTTCTTTAATTATACTCTTTTTTTTTTGTTTTGTTATATTTGTTTATTATTGAATCATTGTGGGAAAAGTTACAAAGCTTTCAGGTTTAAGTCTCAGTCATACAATGATAATACCTTTCCCTTCGCCAGTACTTATTTTTCACCACCAAGAACCCCAATATACCCCCTTCCTACCCCCCCCCCAATGCCTTTGAGGCAGATGATGTCTACCTAATTCTCTCTCTACTTTGATTACATTCATTATTTCGACAAAAGATGCCTCATTATTGTTGAGAGTTTCCGCCCAACAATCAGAACTGCTGAAAAGGCATTGTGAAATATTTGTTTTCTATAGCTGGTTATGAGAACCAAATGATGTCGTGATAGTGGCCACGCGATTTTGGATTTCTAATATTTTACTAATTAAGTCTGGAGGGATTTCTGCCAAGAGCCAGATAATTATGAGATTGGTTTCTGTGCCTCTGGAGCTATGGCCCTGCCAGAGAGCCACTCGTGGAGGGCAACTCGTGACCTTGGTAGGGCATGAAGGACGAGCAGATACAGCCCCCCTTCCCATGAGGCTGCAGTTTCCCCTACACCACAGGCTCATACCTGGCTTTCCAATAAACTCTGAAACAGGGGCCCCTCCTGCGGGGGGTGGGGGAGGAGGTGGAAGGGAGAGACACCCTTTCCCTCCCGGGGAGGCATGGCACCATAGTTTAACGCATAGTCCATTCACTTTCTGCCGCAAGTGGCCAGGCTCTGGATTAAGTCCTCTTGCCTTTGGAGCCATGGCCCTGCTGGAGAGCCGCTCATGGGAGGCAACTCGTCACCTCGGTAGAGCATGAAGGACAAGATGAACATATGGTTTGAAACTCCAAAATAATCTAAGGCAATACTCTTCGGACATTCTGTAGTACCTTTCTAATTTAAAGATTGATTATACTACGAACATTCTATTTGAATGACTCTTAGAAACCCTGTGATATTATTTCCCATTCAGTATCCTTGAATTCAAGCTAGAATATTTGTGACAGTCATTGGCTCTTTACTAGAATCTTTTTATTTATTTATACTGAATCATAATAATAATAATAATAATAATAAAGGCCCTCCCGTTGATCGTCGATTTGCTCAAGCGGGCCCAGTAACGTCTCCATTGGAGACTTTGTTGTTACTGTGTCTGGCATATCGAATACTCTCGGTAGCTTGCCGGGCTCTCCAAGAGGGGCGGAGGAATCGAACTCGGGTCGGCCATGTTGGCCGCTTGTAAGGCGAATGCCCTACCCGCTGTGCTATCGCTCATAATAAATTACAAAGTTATTCAGGATTGAGTTTCCAGAGCACAATGTTCCAACACCAATCCCTTTACCACTATCCACTCCACCAAATGCCCACAGTTTCCCTGCCAACCCCAAATCTGCCTCTATGGCAGGCACTCCCCCCCCACCCCCGCTTTTATTTCAGGCACTGTGGTTTGCAGTACTGTTGCTGATCGGGTATCATGCGTATCATGTTACCTCCCTTCAGCACCCAGTCCTCATCCAGAGTGACCACTTCCTTCTGTCATTGTCATAGTGGTTCCTTCCCTGACCTATCAAACCCCTCCCCCATTCCCCTCCCTTTCCCCCACCTCCTCAAGTAACAAGCTTCCTACTAAGAACTAGTTCACTTGCTCGATTTCTATGATGTAGGTAGGCAGAAAGGGTAGGCCCCTTCACAAGGCAATGGGCAGTCAATCTCCTGGGAAGCAATAGCCCTGACCTCATGGATAATTAACTGGCACCAGTCCACCAGTCTGTGATAGACCCTGTGGAGGCTGGACGTCTACAGGGATGACAGCAGAAGAAATAGAGACCAATTAAGGACCAGAGAGAGATTAACCAGAAACTCCAAAGCTGTTCTTTTGACACCTGACCAACCTCCTTGGTAACCTCCCTAGCAACAAACTTTTACCTAGGTAGAAGCCCCACATGGGGGCAGGTTGGAGAAACCCTATAAAGGCCACCTTGAATAAAGGAAGTGTGTGCACATATGCTGCTTGAGCACATGTGTCGTCCGCATCTCCCCTCTTGAGATGTGTATTTTCATGTTTTCATGTCTAATGCTGGGGGGTGTGTAGGGGCTCTCTCCACCCTTGGAGAAGCCTGGGCTCTCTTTTGAGCAAGTTATTGTCTACTGTCTCCCACTTTAGCTCCCTCCTTCCCTTCAAAACTCTTCAAATAAAAACTGTGTAATTTCACTGCCTTTCTGCTCCTGAAATTCCTTTCTGCAAGACGAGACAAGAATCCAGTAAACCTGGGTCCTGGGTGGCAGAGGCGGATGGGGATAAAGTGACTGTCTTTCTCCTCCCTGCTTCACATAAGTCACTGTGGGGCCCACCGACATCAGGTTTTTATTACATTTTAACATTATTCCCCTATGAGTGAACATATTCCTGGACACATGGTAAGACACTCCCTACCCATTTTCCATAATTACCACACCATATTTGATGGGGTTCAGACAGTAGGCAACAAATCATAGAGGGAATATATATATATATATATATATATATATATATATATATATATTTCTTGGAGAGCCCGGAAAGCTATGGAGAGTATCCCACCTGCATGGCAGAGCCTGGCAAGTTTCCCGTGGTATATTCGATATGCCAAAAAGAGTAACAATAACAGGTCTCATTTCCCTGAAAGAGCCTCCAATACGCAGCGTTGGGAAAGACGAGTAAGGGGAGGCTGCTAAAATCTCAGGGCTGGGACGAATGGAGATGTTACTGGCACCCACTCGAGTAAATCTATGAACAATGGGATGACAGTGATGAAAGTGATGTTTCCCCTACTATGTTTCTTTATAGCCAGTATATGAGTGAGATCATTCTGTGTCTATCCCTCTCCTTCTGACTCATTTCACTCAACATGATACTCTCCAGATTCATCCATGGAACAGCACAATACATGACTTCATCTTTCCTTACTGAGACCTTTAAAATCCTTGTTCTGTCTCTGGCATTCCCTAGCATGAGAGTGTTTTTCCACAAGACACCATTCACATATTTGAAAACATTTTTTGTATCTCTGCTGCTTGAAGCTACCCTCCCTACTGTCTTTGAGACTGAGAGTTTCCAGGACACTGAAATAATGCCCTCAACTGAGCCCAGAGAAAATGTGATCTAAATTCTCTCCCATCTCCTGTCTCAAGGGTGACTTGGGTGACACAACATAGCTCAGTTTCAAAATGGAGGGCTTGGAATTGAAAGATAGCTCAGATCCTGGTGATGATGGGTAGGACAAACAGGAAAAAAACCCCTCTAAATCTTATAAGATTTTAATCCTAAAATAAAACTCTCAGGCTAGTGTTAGGAATCATTAAGTAGTGCCCTTTGGCAGGGGATTCCCTCCAATGCTACAGGTAAAAGCTGACCTATTCATGACCTTACCCTGGTAAAAATATGGCACATTTTCCCTCCTCCACCCAATATTAAGATCCAGTCACTTCCAATTGGCTCCCACCATGTAGCACTGTAGCACTGTCCTCCCGTTGTTCATTGATTTGCTTGAGCGGGTCCACTAACGTCTCCATCGTGAGACTTGTTGTTACTGTGTTTGGCATATTGAATACATCACGGGTAGCTTGCCAGGCTTTGCCATGCAGGCAAGAAACTCTCAGTAGCTTGCTGGGCTC